TCATGGAAATGAGAGTTAATCTCAATTAGGTCAAAGAACAATTTTACCATGTAAAACTAAAATTAAAAATTGCTCTATCATGTGAGTCATACAATGGCCTCTAAGTTATAGTTCTTTTTAAAAATGTCTACTTTCATATTAGAACATTTTTCTAATATGTTATCGATCAATTACTGCAGAGAAACATTCTAGCACAGAAATTTATTTTCTAGAAATTTCAACTTGATCTTCCAAATCTTTGATAAAAATATTAACTTCCCAATATTGTGTAAGGAATATTTAAACAAAGGAATGGACAATAACCTATTATTTCCAAAATAGAACAAAACAAAACAAAAACCAAACTCCTGAGCTTAGTGGCCAGGACAAAGAGTTAAGGAAACTAAAACAATAAGTACGCTATCTTATAATCAGTTGGATTCAACCTGCAGGCTATGAAAGTTAATTACCAGCCTGCTCTTCCTAGTGATGACAGCTCAGGAACGGTCCCTAAAGTCTTCTGGGCCAGGGAAGGGTGAACAGGCAAACAGATCTCTACCACGAGGCTACCTTAAACTGAGCTAGAATAAAAATCCACTCCATCCACTGGAGAACATGCACTCCAGAATGGAAAAGAGCTCCCTGACAGAGCTACTTGATCCTAAAACACAGTCCATAGTCTCCAAATAAAATCCAGTTGGCTAGAGTGGCTTTCAAAAGATATACCCTGGTTTATTTTTAATAAATAACACTCAATTCCTTCCTCAAATGGTCAGGTAAAATTAAATTAGTTAGCATTTATTAACTGCAAAGCATGTAGCTAACACTTAAAACAACAGCAAACTTCACTTTTAATGTCCAAATTTAATTTTAATACTTTTCAAAATCTGAATTTACCTTCCCAAATTCATCTGAATTTTATACATCTGTAAATAGCACACATATATACTTCTCAGCAGAAGAAGAGTGGGAAATCTGTTTTAAGTTCTGCAATCTAAAGACTATAATTAACTTTGCAGGAAATACAACTGGAAAATTTTAGAATATAACCAAATGGAATCAAAGTATGTTGCCTAAAAGCAGATTTCAAATAACCTCTGAGCTACCAGAGGCAAAAGCAAAAGTCTATACCTACAGAACTCTCTCCCTCCTCTACCCAACAACAAACCACCTCAAAGAAGAATCTGTTCTACCAGAAATAAAATGAAAAAAAGAGGAAAAGGGTCCTCAACTGAAACACATTTTTTAAATAATCAAAAGCAACTGCATTTTATCCGCAGCTATATTGAGAGACCAGTGTATTATGTCTAAACTAATGTGAATTTCAGCCTACAACAAAATTAGATCTAAACATAATGAAACTGACATTTAAAACAGTTGTTTTCTTCCCATTTACAGGGCTAATCCTTTGTTTCAACTTGCCAGCACTTTAATCAATAAAACTGAGTCAGAGGAGCCAACACCAAATTTTAAAAGGAGTAATTTTTAAGATATAAAATTTAAAGTGTATTTTCATGTTAAAAATCTTCAAAGGAATTATTTCAAATGTGTTTCCAAACATCTTAAATCCTTTAGATTATCAAACATTAAGTTACTGAATGACAAAATAAAGACTTTGCTTTTTTAAAGGCAACTTAAAAGTTTGAATGGTTTTCTTAAATTTGGTTTTAATCTTTGAGCTATCTTTAATATCCCTGAGCATCTTAAGCAACTCTTAACCTTTGTCTCAGTTTCATAATCTATTAAACAGGAAAAACTACAAGGATGAGTAGTTAATTAAATTAGACAGGATTAAATGCTAGCAAACTGCTTTGAAGTTACATTATGTTGTTCTCAGTTCTCCTCCTACTCAGTAAAGCTAATAGATGAGAAAACATCTGGAATGACTATAGATAACAACATCTGCAGACTCACAGCAGTTAAAAAGATGATCTCTATTTACAAGTTTCTAAGCCAAAGTTCACTCAACAACCCCAAAAGATTTCAAGATATGATTGCAATGAGTAATTTCAGGTGAATCTCCTTTCAGCTCAAAGATAGCCTACATTCTCAAAACAGACTATTATTACACAGAAATCTTAGAGCACCTTGAGAGGTCTTGGCACAAGACAATTCTAGGTAAAATGAACAAGCTGTTACTGTTGTTAATATTCTCAGCATTCTCAACTGCCAATCAAGGTAAGCTTCCCCACAAGCACACCCTCCAAAAAGTACAAGCCCCCACTGAGAATCTATCAAAATACTTCCTTCTAAGCCATCTGTCCAGGAAAGCTCTATTAATACACCTAGAAGGCAGGTGCTATCCCGTCTGAAAAGGATATGCATCAACATAAAATATTAAAATAGCTTACAAAGTACACATTTTCCACTTCAAACACTGAGAAGCTAGCTACTAAATCTACTGATGCCTAGGCTGAACACAAAACTTCTAGGTAGGTAGGTTGGAAACTACAACTTAATCAAAGACTTACTTTTTAAAGAAGAAAATAATACATTAAAAAGGCTCAAGATGAGGACAAAATGCTCAAAAAGAAAAAAAAACAAAGTAGATTAAGATGAAATGTGTAAATTATTCCTTGATGCAAGAACACAATTAAATTTTAAAAGAGCAATTTAAATTAGTTGCTGAGCTACAAACTACTCCTTGTTTTGCTACTCATCTAGTAACACTATAAAATCATAAGTACCTATAAATCCAGTTTGAAGGACCCAAAACTAATCTATTCTATGCCAGTAAAGAAAGAAATTGCATGAATTTCAGTAAGGAAAAAGTAGGATGTTATAAGAGCCTAAGACTAATGGTGTAATAGCAAAGAATGATGCGAAGGAATTATTCTAGGAATAACTTAATAATAGGAAAACAAAACAAAGAGTTTTAATTCCCTCTGGCCCCATCCTTTCTTCTGCTTAGGCCAAGAGGGATGTTCTTTGCACAGTGAGTATACTACTTGGAAAATAACATCTGATAAATATGTCAAAACTTCTTCATAACAGTAAAACATTAGGCTCAATTTCAACACTGCAGCCTCTTCAAACACACCGAGCACATTTTAAGTTTCAGGTCTTTTACCCCCTCTACCAATTATTTAGAGACTGTGGGAACAAACCAGGCTGCTTAAAGTTCTGGGGAACGGGGTCAGAGATGAGTAACAAAAAGCCTAAAAAGACTACTCTGACTTAGCTTTACAAACATTACCAAAAAAGTTTCAATTCAGGAAAATATAAGTATCAGACAGTGCTCTTTAGAGTTAATGTGGAAAGTTTATCAAGTGCTCACCTATCCTCATTTGCAGCTGGCATGTTCACCTGCCCTTCTGTAAATACAGCACGTCACCGAATACAAATTCATTGTGGCAACAACAGTGCAACTGGTCATCTGTTCACAATCCAGCCAAAGATTACTGGCTAAAATACTGGGACTGCAGGTTGAGGAAAGCATTCTAGGGAGAAGCTCACTTAATCTGCATTTATTTCAACATAGTTAAAGACCATTCCCACCATGCTCTAAGTGAAAGAAAGTTCATTCATTAAGCAAATATTTACTGAGTGTCCTATTAAGTGCCAGGCACTTAGCATCATAGAATGTTACTTAAAAGCAGTAAATGTGGGGCTGGGGATTTAGCTCAGGGCACAGCGCCTGCCTAGCAAGCGTAAGGTCGTGAGCTCGATTCCCGGCACCGGACAATAGCCAAAAAAAAAAAAAAAAGTAAATGCATTTGGCCTAATGAACAAAATCTAACTGATCCTTTGACAGGATCAGTTTTGTTTTTTAGACAAAACTTAGTCCACTGGACAAAACTGTGTGTTCTTTAAATGTAGATTGTGAGAGAAATATAACATGAAATGACCCATAACCCCATCAAGGTGACTTCTTACCTCTATCACAAGCTGATCAGTTCACTGAAAATGTATTACTGCTGGCAAAGAACCAATAATCAGCACTTCATCCTATTGAATGGACCCTTGGGGGGGGGGTCATCTTCAGTACCCACCCAAAACTGCGCAACACTTAATTTACACTTACTCTTCAAGAGTAGAGCAGAGTAAGTGTGTACTGAAAACTTAAAGAAGCACCATCAATCCTTTGAAGAATTCATCAGGGAAAATTCTCACATCTTCACTATTAAAATGTCTCCAATTTAACTGGCTATTTAACCTAAACTTCTCAAGTCCAAAGGCTTAGTCTTTGGCTTCCCTTAGTTATTAAAACAGTGTGTTCAAGGCATTTTCTAAAAGCAATTAATGTTTTCTCCCTGCCTTTTGCCACTAGTTAAACTCTTTCACTCACAAATATAAGAAATGTCCAAGCCTCCAGCTTCTGAAAATAACATCTGGTATGTGCACGTAACAAAAAGCTTGAGAATGTCCTCGTTTTTATTTAAAACTTTTTCATTTAAAACTAAAATGCCTTTAGCAATGATTAGACATAAATCAGCTTTTACCTTATTAGGAGATTGCTATTTTCAACATTTATCTTAAACCACAACATAGATTTATCTTCTCACCGGTTAGCTTCCTGTCTCTCCCCCAACTAGATTAGAGTGTAACTTCTTTTTTGACAGCAAGGGACTACTAGACCCCATGATCTTTTCCCAGTTAATGTATTTCAAACACTCCAAGGCTCCACAGAAGTATATGCTGGCAACCTTAAAGATTTAGGCTCTTCTGTAATTCTTTTCCTGTACTGGGGAATGAACCCAGGGCCTTCTCACTGAGCTGCATCCCCACTATCACCTCCCATTTTCGCTGTTAAGACAGGGTCTTGCTAAATCTCTAAATTGCCATCTTCCTACCTCAACCTCCCAGAGTGCTGGGATTTCAGGCATGTGGCATGAATCTGGCTCATATTTCTCTAATTTTTTAAAGCTACTTTGATAAAAGTATGTAGGTGTCCTTAACTGTAACAATAGTTGTACATTGGTAGGTTCTTGAATTGTGGTCCTGAACCCCTGAGAGATTTCAAGACCCTCTCAGGGGATTCAGAAAGTCAAAATTATTTTCATAAGTAATATTAAGATTACTTTTATCGCTTACTCTCATTCTCTCAAGAGCATGCAATGGAGTTTTCCAGAAGCCACATGAAGTGTGATAGCTGAGAGATGGGATGCACAGGCAGATAACGAGTCCAGCTGTCTTCCATTAAGCTAAACAAAAAGAGTTGCAAACATGTAAAATAATGCCACTCTTGACTGCATTTTTGTTTTGAAAAACACATTTTACGTAGTTTTCCATTTATGTTAAAAGGTACTGGACCCACTGTTATTACTTCTAAGTAAATTAATACATATTTTAATTTTTTCTCATTTTTGATTTCAAATACAGCAGTATCACTAAACATAAGCCATGCAAACAAAGCCTGTCTCGGTCCTCAAAAATGTTTAAGAACAAAAGTGTGAGAATCACACTGAAGAATACAATTATGCACCTAACACACAGTGCCTTCGCAGATCAAAAGCACAAGCTAATTCTAAAGTATAATTACTTCTTACCCACCTAATCTGGGTGAGTACTACATCTCCTTGCAAAGCATAATTCAGCATAAAGCCAGTTGTTATGGGTTCCATTTAATGGGCTTTGGATATTTAATTATTCAGAGTCCTCTTTATAAAGATATTCTTCTGATCATCTATTACTACACCACCTATTACCTGGATAGAATATGGCAGTTTCTCAAAGTTTTCACACACACACAAAATCACCTTGTTCACCCTAACAGCAACCTGTGAAGTAAATACAAAATATTTGCCTTTTTTTGACAGCTGACACCATGAAAATTAATGCTCAAAGGACACAGAACTACTTCTCCAAGGATGCCTTGGTAGCTAGTAGGGCCTAGATGTTGATCTTGTGCAATCTGCTTGGCTCACTCCAAGTTCTCAACAAAAATAAGGCAAGGGCATTACTTTCACTGTCCCGGTGCCAAAACGGAGATTTTCTCCTTAATAAGAATGTAATCAGATTCAGTACCGATCACAGCATTATTCAACACACTGACTTCTTTTAGTTCCCTACCAAAAATAAAATTTAAGTGTTGAAGGAAGAAATACCATGGTGCATAATGCTCCAAAAGGATGAGTTAAGGACGTACAGATTTACTGATCACTTAGTCACTGAAACAAGAGGCAGGTAAGAACGAGACCGTGTTTAATACAGTAACACTGGACTGAGTCGACAAATGGATGCCAGTGGGTTAAAATGGGAGACCCCAACGAGATGGGGTAAGTTCACACACACACACACACACACACACACACACACACACCCCACATTAAGTTTCGAAATTAGCTTTATCGGTTCCATAAATCCAAGCAAGTGATTAGAACCACCCTTGCAAAGCAGTCTGAAGCAAACTTGATTTCGAGAAGCAAAGATGCCACCCTAACCCCTGGGCAGAAAGTGAAACATACTTTAAAAAAAAAAAAGAAAAGAAAAAGAAAAAAAGAAACATAGTTTGTTCTTGTTATCCACACAAGCTTCATTTTAACTTACTGAATTCCTCAAGAAATGCTTGATTTTTTTGCCTCTCTGTTCCACAATCAAGTGGGCCTCTTGACTGGCAGAGGTAAGACTGATTCGCAGCAGGTTATCTGTCATTTGTACAGTTCTCGTGTTTTTAGGTGCATGTGCCCAGCGAAGCCATTTTTAAGTTTGGTGTGATTTTACCTACAAAAATCCCCAAATGTGCTAACTGAGCACTTTGTGTTCCTGTAGTTTACTACAGATGAGCCAGAGTAATTGCCTCATTCCTTGTGAGGTAGGATTTTCCTAGTTGTTTACTCTGGTCTTTTTTTTTTTTTTTTTCAAATCTCTTTTGAAAAAATTTACCACCACAGCTACAGCTAGTATGCCACCAACTTGTAAAGCGATATGGTACACCTTTTCTGGTTCCAATATTCAACATTCAGTGTTCAAGACACATTCCTAGGTAAGAGCGACTGCAATTCACACAAATGTCTGCATCCTCACAAAAGAACTGCAGTGCTGCCCTGTTGAAACCAATTAACTGGTTAATCTTTAAAAGCTTCATGCGGAAAAATACATCTGACTTTACAAAGGCAGCAAAGCGTCAAACGCCTGAATAAAAAAAAAAAAATGCGGTTATTTCTATTTCTTATCCTGGAATACATTTTGCTTTGTAACACTACCATTTTTTTTTCTCTAGGACCATAATCACCCTTTAAGAGGTAACCTGTCAAAAGTGTTTTAGGATTCTCTAATTTCCCAGCTCCGAGCCACACTGAGCAATGTCACACCGCTAAAGCGTACATTCGCTGTTTTCCTACATTTCGGCAAATGAACTTAGGGAAATTCTGAAGTGCACAATTCAAATGTTACTCCACAACCCAAGCTACCGGGGATCATCTCGGAGCTAATAAACAAAGGCTCGAGCGGCACCAGGGCCCTACCAGGAAGTAATCAAAGCAGGGAGGCTGGTGCGATCCTAAGTCGCTGGGGGCAGACAATGAGAGCGCGCTGCGGGCTTCCGAGCGGGCCGGTGGGAGGACTTAAAACGCTCAGGCTGTTCCGAAGCATCCCCTAACCCTAAGCACTGTTTTACGGAGCTCGAGCCCGGGAATCCCAGCGCGATTCCAGGCAACCCGAAGACTGTCCTGAAACAATCTTAGAAACGCGAACTCCGGCCGCCCCGCCAAAGCAGCTGTCGGCTGGCTCTCCCGAGCGCCGAGCCCGCAGTTTGTTTTCCAACTTCACCCTCCCCGGCTGACGAAAGACTCCGGCCTCGGCCGCCCGAGCTCACGAGGCAGCCGGAGCCCGCGGGGAAGGGGCAGCAGCGAGCTGAGGCCGCCGGCGGCCCAGACAAAGCTGCGCCGGGAGAGCGGCGCTCCCCCGTCCGTCCGCGGAGCC